AAGTTACCGTGGAGGATCATTTTTCTAAAAAGTTGCCAAGTCTGACTCATAACGAGCAAGATTTGTTCTAATATCTCAAAATTGCCATTTAATTGCCAGTTAAGTTTTAAAAGTTGTAGTGTAACAATTAGCGAAAAGTTAAGTTTTAAAAGTTGTAATGTAACAACTGTAGCGTAACAACGTACTATCTGATGATGCCTAGAGGCCACACGGCGTGAGAAATAATATTGACAAGAAAACAAAACAAACAAAACGAAGAAAAAGTGAAATAAACCACATCACAAACACCAACAAATACACAAAATGCCTCCTTATCTTTTCAAAAATGCATCACAAGTGTCCAGGTACTAATTTTGCTGTCATTTTTTTTTCTACGCGATGACCAATCATAATTTCAGGAGGTTGGCTTGTTGTCTGCAATGTTGTTTTCAACGGCTCCTCCGATATATCAGCGACGTCATCATACCGCGGAATTCAAAACTATGACGATCACAGTAAGATGTGTCTTGGTAAAGAAGCCATGAAACAATTCCAAACCATCTTGTCGTTCACTCAGCTGAGGTTCTACTGCAGAAAGCAAAATACTGGGCGTACTTTTCACGTGGTCACGGCGGCTAACAGCAGTGGTCAAGCTGTGGTTCGGTACTTTAGCGATCTGACTGATGCGATGCCCAATGCCTGTGGCTCGTTCGTAAGAATGGATGATGACGACTCGTTGCTAGCCGAAAACTGCCACAAATGGGGGGAAGAGAATGGAACTCACATGGTAGGCAAATGGGGACATAGCAACGTCAAACAAAGATTGTATAATCACGCCGCTTTCATTGCAGGCCATTATCACTGGGTGATACAATCGAGTAGATGGGAATGCGATGACTTCCGGGGTAACGTCTCCATCGGTGATTTTTGGAAAATCTTTGTTCGTTAGAAGCTGAACAGCTGATATTTTCTAAATGAGAAGTCCTGATCGACCTTCTAGGAGCAATTCCTAACTGCGCATTAAGAGAATAACTCTGTAAGTTTTTTTAATTTTACCAGGTCACTTTCCTCTTTTTCCTTGGTCTGTCAGTACATTGTTCAAACTTGAAGAAATTAGATTTTCTATTGTTTTGCTCGACCGAGCGTACCTATCTCTCGGTTTCCATACTTGCTGGTAGCTGGTGTTACGTTTTATTTACCATATTTATAAGTTTCTCACTCGGCTAACTTCAGTGCAAAGGCAGTGACCTATTTTCATAGTCATGTAGTAGCAGTCTCTAAGTCCAGTTATGATGAAATTCCCACGTGCCCTCCCGATATTTATTGGGGCGGGTATTAGGTTGTACTTTGACAATACTTCTTGGGTAAATATCGGATCAAGGCGTTAGGAGGCTTTTAATAAGCACCAATACAGCCATGTTTTTTTTAACTGAAAGTTACTCTAACTACCTTCCTAAAGATAAGACTAAAAATTTAAGGATTCATAGAAGTCAATTACAATAATTACTCGCTTTGCTCTTCTGAAAGTTCTTAGAAGGTTTCTGGCATATCTAAACAAATTATCGGGAGGAAGAAACAAGTGGGATAAGAAAATAAAAAGCAGAATGTTAATTGCAAGTGATGTATAGTTTGGCGCTCATGGAATCGTAAACAAAATTCATCGACTTCTTAGCATACTAGTAATGTCTAAACTCAAAGTTTATGATTCTCACTCCAACTGTTTCCAATTTGTTTTATTATCATATCACTTACCGGGGAGCAAACTGACTAAATAAGAACAAAATATGAAAAAAAGAAACAAACATGACGCAGTTTCTGACTACGATTAAACATGTATATCTCACTTTCAAAGTCAGTAAATTGTATAATTTTTAGCCTAAAAAAGAGTCAGTAGAGTGGTGTTTAAACTAAAAAGTTTCTGTATGTGGTATGTTGTATATCATTCGTACCGAAAACATTCAGTCTGTTATAGGAAAAAATGAAAGTTTAAAAGTTTAAACTGATATATGGGGTTTTTCTCATTTTTTTACATGGTCTCATAAATTAGCTGTGATCTTGAGCGTTCATGTTTATTGCAAGCAAAGTAATAAATGCAGCATAAATTATTGATGGCCTTAAAAATCTCTTTTTACAATCACAAAAAATAAATTGCGACCACAAAGGGATAATGTTGTTTATCGTTTTTCAGACCCTTGGTTTCTAATTTTGTGTTTTGGGGGTTGGAGGGTTAGACAGTTCCATTATACCTTTCGATATTTAATTGTTGGATCAGATCAAAATCAAAATTTAAAATTAAAATCAGCTTTTTTAGTACAGTAAAGGGGAAGTGGAAAAACGTGGTCGAAACACCAAAGCCAGTGTTACGACTATATCCTCTACACGGTATGTTACCATTAAATGTCGGAGGGGAGGGACGGGAAGGAATTAGCTATCGAGCACACCACGCCCGGCGAAAGGCACCAGGACTCTCGAACTGTCTTTCCTGCTTTCTGTTTTTATACGATTCTCCAGTACGTAATTCCTCCCACATCCAAGCTTGTTTCATTATGTGTAACTCTGGTTAATCTCTAAGGCTCTCACACTTTGATTCTCACTGGATAATACTTCTTAAATTGCGGAATTCTGACTCTACTCTGCTGAACGCTTTCTACGTTCTTTAAGTGTTCCCTTCTCTCTCTTATTTCCACTCTCATTTCTTTTTCTTTCTACTTCTTCTGGGTAAACTCTAAAGAACATACTTATATATTCACTACTCACAGATACGGGTGGGTATGTTAGCTGGCTGACCT